AGGCCACAGCCTTGTAGGTCGGAGGGCCGCCGTTAGATTGATAGGAATTGAATGCCCGAGAGAGGACGGCGTAGATCTGAAACGCGGCGGCGTTCTGTAAATGCAAAAAACATTCAATCAGTATCAGGTCTTGTAATCTTAATCCGCCATTGAAGGACTTGAGATGAGAACAGAAACAGCCATGGAAGGACCTGGAAAGTGACAGAGGCCAAGGGAGCGGCCATGCCTCTGTAGAGGCCAGCAAGGCCATCGTGGGCGATGATATTGCGGAAGATTCTCACGGCGGAGCCAGAAGCCGATTGCTGTTGCCTGATTCGAAGAGTATCAAGTGGGTAGCCGGAGATTATGCCGGCGATGCCTCCAAATCCACCGGCCACAAATTCTTTACCCCAACTGCTTGCGAGGAACTCTGGCCAGAAATCCATTTCTATAATGCCAATCAACACTAACTTTAATGCCAAAAGGTACTGCTGTTTTTAAAAACTTTTCTACCTGTTGATGAAATTCAAAACCCTGTTCTTGCTTTTTCCTTCTTACCTGTTGTTTAAGCTCAACTCCCCATATTTCATTGAAACTTCTTGCCAAAACAGATCAAATAATGTGTGCTTTTTCTGGGTTCTTTTGGGGCTGCGACAAATTTGAATGTCGTAACTGATCTGAATCGAATATATACCATAACCCAGTTTTGAATATTCTGTCTCTCTCTCTCTCTCTTCCTCCAAAACGCTGAAATTTGTATTGTCCAGTGGCTTATATGGAGATTTTGAAGGAGTGGAAGAAAAACGTGAAGAGCAACGAAAGGAACAGAGAGCCCCAATTGTGACACTTGTCTTTTTCGGCCGAAACAGAAGCCACAGATGTTGCTGGTTCCATGGGAGAGAGAGAAGGAAGAAGAAGAAGAGAACGGCCAACACCAACTTTCGGAGGAGCAGTAGGAGAATGCCTCGTGGCCATGGACCAATCAGGTTCTGACATGCTGTCTTTTTTTCTTTCATTGTTTTCCTAAATTTTGAGTGGTGTTGTTAAAACTTGTTTTCAAGTTTTTGTTTTCCTGTAAGAATATGGTTTTGTTTTTATTAATTTAATCATTTAAGTCTAATTTAAAATTAAGTTTTGGATCCTAGCCTCGAAATATAATGGGTACGATTCTTATATAGATTATAATCTTGGGTATAATGACTATTCGTTGCAATAATGAATTTAGCAATTTAGTCCTTATAGTTTAATATTTGTTATGATTTAGTCACTATAATAAAAAAAATATTATTTATATTTAATGAAATTTCTTGTATATATACATGCATCAAATAATAGGGAATATGTTTTTGGTCATATTCGATGTCACACCTCCAAAAAAATTATGATTAGAAGATAACCTATAAAAAAATATTTCTACCTAATCTTTAGTTATGCTGAATTTGAACAATATTAGCTTTTTGATATCCAGTAAACTATACGATTTATCTTATAAGCAATTTACCAACTTAAATGGAGCTGAATTTGAACAATATTAGCTTTTTGATATCCAGTAAACTATACGATTTATCTTATAAGCAATTTACCAACTTAAATGCATCTAACCAACGTATCGTATCATCTTTTTTATTGTGACCTTTCTAATGTTTCTACATCTAACCACTTTTTATGTAAATAAAAAATGTCAAACTTTATAAATTAGTTTCGTTTTTACTATTCTAACAAATAAATTTAAGAAAATTACTAAACAACATGAATTTAGCTCAGCAGTGAACGTAGTTTTCTCTTTTTTAAGGTTAGAAGTTCAATCTTCCATCTCCACGTTTAGAGCGAATATTATGATTTTAGGAGAGATGAGGTTTGGAAAAAGTGGGGGATGGTACCATGGTTGATAGGAGAAATAAATGAAAGGACTTCACTCAAATTTGCATTTTGCATAACGAGGCAGATTAAAGGTTCCATATTATCATCACATCAATTTTAACCATATTCTCATTTTCTGCAGGAGATTCTTTTTTTAAATTCTTTCACCTGTCATTTTCTTTTGATAACATTTAGAATAAATTTAGCATGACCTCTAAACTGTTAAATAAGAAAAATCAACGTATATTTTAAAAAAATCAGAATAAAGTATTATTTGACTTTCTTTATTCATTTTTTGATAACTCTTTCATCTCTCAGCTTCTCTTCAGGCAAAACAGAATTTTTCCTGTGTCTCCTCTCTGGAACATGGTCTAAACTGTAGCGAGTGTTGCAGTGAACAACACATTTTCCTTTTTCTCCCCTAGCTTATAAAAAATGAAAACATTGACCAACCATGAATTCAGATTGCAACTCGATTTGAAAACTCGGATCGATTCTCACCTAGTTCTTCTGTATTATATGGTGCTTCTTATCGGGTATATAAACACAAACACCTGCCAATTAGTAGAAACAGTGCCCACCTAACCAAAAAATTTGACATCAAAATATTATTGAGCTTCTTAGGAACAAGGGGTTTCAGATAATTTGGCAATCAAAACCTGCATTAGTATGGCATTCAATGGGGATCACAGTATTTTCATCTACACAAATCAATCTGTCATGCACAGCACAGCGGGCAAGTCGAAAAGTATTCAACTTCAAATTTGATCAGTTCATGTGGAGGGAAGGATGATATTTGGTCATTCCTTATAAAAGATGTTATACCATCAGTTGATTAAAAAAACAGCAAACATCTGCAATTACACCTGGGAAAATCCGTCTGTACTTTGTGCTCGAGATCCTCGCTTGTTCCCACTTTTTTTGGGCCCAGTGCTCCCAAAGGTGGCCCCTTTTGTTGGGCCTATGAGCTCCTTTAAGTGCCTGTACATCAAATGATTCAAATTACAGTCTATTAGGTACAATCTCTCCATTTTTTTCTCTTTTCGTATAAGCAATCCAACCACTTAAACGCATCTAGCCATGGTATCATATCATTGTTGACCTTTCTAATGTTTTTACGCCCAACAACTTTGCTTATACAACTTAAAGGCATCTAGCCATTGTATCATATCATCTTTTTCATTGTGACCTTTCTAATGTTTTTATACCCAACCACTTTTCAGGTAAATACTAAAATATTTATATCAAACTTCATAAATTAGATTCATTTTTATTATTCTAACAAATAAGGTACAATCTTCTCACAAACATTAGAGAGGACGTAATATTTGAATATCCAACTTCTCTCACCTTTAATTTGATAATAAAAACCAACATAACTTACCCACGAAAATTTGTAAAGTAGAGATAGAAAGAGCTACAAATAACGGAGAAGTTAACCATAGTTAATGACACTCTCAATGATTTCTTAAGCTGAGACTCAGAACTAAAGGAAACCCATAATTAGGGCCAACGAGACTATTTAGGGAAAAAAAAAACCCAAAAAGGATAGCAGATTTAGGGGCTATTTGCAAGTGTTCTGGAAAAAGGTTTTTTGCTTTTTGCATGTTCTCTTCTCTAACCTGAAAATACGTCTGCACTGGTACGAGCAGAAATGCACAAATTCAAGAAGTGATGTGAACAATATAATGCAACTTACAGACGGTGGTAGAAAAATTTATTAAGTTTTAATCCAGGATGAGTGCATATTCATACCCGTAAGCCCTCCACACCTGGAATGTTAATTTATTCCGAATCTGATGAGTCTGATCTGGTACTTTGCCTCACACTTCTGGTTTGTGCACTAGATTTTGAAGCATTTATGGATGATTCGCCTTCATAGAAGATTACTTGACATTTTGCCAACCTCTCTTCCAATTCCTCGGTGCTGAATTCGTCCGTTCCACCAAGCTCATCAAATCCCACCTGATAGATTTACATGAAGGGTAATGTTAAAGCTCAAAGGGCACCAACTATAATTCGGTAATCAGGGGTGTATTATCATAAAGGACATACCACATAGTCATCCACTTTTGCATTCTTGATAAGAGCAAGGGTCGGAAGAACAACGATCTTCAACCTCTCAGCCAGAAATGGACTTTTCTCAGCATTAATTTTTACGAAACGCGTCTCAATATGTTGCTTTGCCAAAATACTCATGTGCTTGTCCATAACCTGTAAATGTACATGCATCGCTTCTCTCAAATGCTCAGGCTTTCAAGTGATAATTACAATTTAAAAACAAGAAAAAAATCTTAAATTATGCAAGATAATTTCCAATGGTCCTGCTTAGATGCCCATAATGTGTTGCAATGTTTACAATCAAATTTTGTATGCAAAAATATAACAAAGCATATAAGAACGAATAAAGGATCAGTCCTCTGCCAACATCCTCTCGGTAAAACATCTATTGTTTCCAAAGGCCACTAATCTTTTTTTAGTATTGGAAAAGTGTTCACCAATTTTGATAGGTATAACATTGCAAGCAAATAGAACAAAGGAGAGCTTAGCCTCTATGATAAGCAAGTGAATGCTGGTATCCAATCAATTGTCAACTAAGTTSAGAGCTATATGCTATAGAAAAAATCTCACATTGAGAAAGTGCACATTAACAAGGCACATGATCCCTAACTAGATCTAGAACCTCTTATAAACCAATGCACTTTCATTTGAAAAATCTTGTCATTCAATCATCATTCACATATTTCTATGATTTCAACTCCACTTTAGTATAATATACAAGACAAATTAATAAGGGCTGCACAAAACGAAAAACCAGAGGATTCAGAATTTGAGTCTCATTATGCTAACATGAACTCGTGTCTCATATTGCTAGGCACATTTGAGCATCGCGGTAACTGGAACACGTAGCAAAACGAAAAGATAGAAAACAATCCCTTCCTGGAATTAAGTTCAATTTCCCAAAACTTCAAAAATCCACCAACTTTACAATTAAATTGTTTTAAAAATCCAATTAAACACACTGAATCAATCAAGAATTGACTAGATAAACTTAATTGATAGAACCTTGCAGGGCCAATTTTCACGGTAGAAGTGGCAGACCACGCGATCACTAGCCTTGACAATGGAGAAGAAATCCTTCTCGACAGGAATCTCCGAGTACTCGCCGTGGCCAAGGGAGATCCATCGACTACGCTTCTCCGCCATCTTCTTCATCTGCTGCAATCTTCGCTCCCTTAAAGCCTCAAAATCGTCGAGGTCTAGACGATCTAGCGCTGCAATTTCGTCATCAATCTTGTCCTCCACGGCCTTCGCCACCGTCAGCACCTGCTTCTCCAATATCTGCGACAACGAGAAAGAAAAAACCGATCATACACAAATGCTAACAGAAATTTTTTTCTACGTATAGAGAGGCCGAGAGAGTACCTCTTGAACTTTTGAGTTCTCCATTTGCTAGAAGTTGGAAGACGATTCCCCTCGAAAAAGGTCTAAAACGTAATGAAGTTGCAAACGGATCGTTTCGAGAGCTCTTCAGCAAAATCAACCTGTCTAAGAAACCGAAAATGATTCAAACGTTAGATTCAAAAGCAATGAAGACGTTCAACCGCTGCCTTGCTGATTAGCTAAATACATAACTGAATTAGCTCAACGAAGATCAAAACTATAGAAGATTAACATAGAGCTAACCAAAACACAAAGTTGCCTCATTACCAGGGGAAACAAATAGTATGCAAGAAAATTTTACCTCAGCTTATTGGACGTGGAGACTGGACAGAGAGAAGTTGAGAATGCTGCAGTCTCACCTCGTGATTATCAACGGAAATAGGAGGACGGTGACCGCCGATCGGAGCGGAGAGAGAAGAAAGGCCAACCGGAGAGAAGCAGATCGGGGGAAGATGAGGAGATGAGGGCAGATCTAGAAGTGAATCCCTTACCTGACCGGCTGACCCAATTTTTTCGAGAATTGGAAATTCAAAATTGTATGGAGAGTTGTACGAAATTACAGAAATGCCACGAGAATGAGGATGGCGGGATCAGCACGATAATTTCAAAACTGCCACCGACAAACCGGTTCACTGCAGGATAACTAATGTCTAATGGTGAATCGAAGGCATCCGAACCACGGAGTATGCTTCGAACCGGTCGATATGAACCATTATATTTGAGAGATTTTGAAAATTTAAAGGTTTAATTGTAACCGCTACAAAAAGATTATTTAGGTTGCATATTTCTAAAAAAAAATATTTTCGAACGGCAATACATTTAAATCAAATTATATTTTAAACTATTATTATTATTTTTTTCAACAAAAATAATAATTATTTTTTTTAGTAGTGTGATAATTGGAAAACACATTTAAATCAACATCTGTTGACTTTTAAACTGTAATTGACAATGATAAACCAACAAACAAAATATTTTTGAAAACATGTCCAAACAATAAAATGGTATATGTTTTATTCTGTCAACCATTTTATATTTAAATGCCAAGCAAACTGACAAGTAACAATAAAAATTTGCTTCCTTTTTTATAAAAGAAAACATAATCTTAAGCACAACCTTTTAAAGAAATCCCTGGGTAATGAACGTTAATATTACCATGACATGGTTTAATCACCAGCTCATATCTAAAAGCCCTAATATTAAAATGGTAACAAAATTTGGGCTAAATTTAGAAAAATACTCCTAAACTTTACCACCTTGTTTCAAAAATATATTTTATTTAATATTTTGAATATAAAGTTGAATCATAATAATTAATGTAAAAACTTGTCTAGATTAAGTTAAAAAAAACAAGATGATATGTGTAGATTCGTTAATGTGAGCCTACGGATTTTATAATAATATAGATCATGAAAAATATCGATACATCATGATATATGGAGATATACCCTTTAACTAAATTATATTTTTTACTCTATTTATAGATGAGTAAAATAGACAAGTAAAGATAAAATAGATGAGTAAAATAAACAAGTAAAGATAAGGAGAATATGTATATAAATATGTTAAGTATGTGTATAGATATGTAAAAGAAAAAAAAATTTATTTTGTTCCCCCTTCTTTTTTATTTTTTTATTTGTTCATACTCTATCTCATTGTGTTCAATTAATACTTTATACATATTTACATATTTCAAATGTATCTATCATTTTTAAAAGCTAGTGAATAAAACTTTGAATCCAATACTTAATACTTGAAACTTTGAAATTGATACTTGCCATCTCGTTCCATTCCATTAAAATTGGACAAATATTTGCTCGAATGATATTTTCAAAACGTTTGTAAAAAGTTAAAGAAGTTAAAGGTTGAAGAGCATTCTTTTGTAATTAAGCCAAAACTATAGTACCTATGAATTGTATACTCAATCACAGAAGCACAACCCTGCTTTGGGGTGTAGAGTGCCTCCAGACGACCGTAAGACTGGAAAAGTTCCCCTTTCGGTATAATTCTGACCTACAGCAGCAACAAGTTGATGTAAATTTAGCCCTAAAACTGCAATGCAATCCCGATACTAATCCTACGGCCCAAAGAATTACTCTTCATCAAGCAACCAGTGTAGCCCTAACAATTCATTTCAATCAATCAGCTTCTAGTCTCAAGATAGATCATAAACTTGAAAAGCATTGAACTTCTATGATATCATTCCAGAAACAAGGATCATCACATATTTCCATCACAAATATTCTTCTAGGTTTTTACACAGAACATAACGAGAGAGTAGAAAAGCGTTTTTATTCGGTTCATGCAGAGGATAACATGTCACACAATCATTTGATTAAAACGACATCAGATGTCTGCAATTTCAGCTCAAGTAATCTACATATGTTGTGTGGGAACCCTCATTTCTTCCCACTCTTCTTGAGCCCAGCACCTCCAAAGGTCCCCTTCTGTTGGGCCTTAGCTCTTAGCTCCCTGAGAGCCTGTAACGTCAAACAACTCAAAATTATAGTAGCAATCTTCAACACAACCAGTGGACAGAAGAAAGGTTTTGTTACTGTTTCAACTTCTCACCTTTTCCTCATCCTTCTTCTTTTGAATGTTGGCCATGTCAACCTATTGAAGAAGACCCAGTAAAATTCACAAGGTAGTTTTGTAAATAATAATACAAACCTTTCTATCACTGCCTTGTTATTTAGCTGACTACATAAATGATTTTGAAGTATAGGAAAAGAAACAAATAGAAGGCAGTAATGATTACAAGACACAAAAGCTGCAACCTAGTGCTCAATTATTCATTAACTTTTGAGATAATATATGATATATTATATCAGTCTTTTAGCTTCAAGCAAACAGTGCTAGGAAATTTGTTAAATGGAAAGAGAAAAATTGAAATTAATGGGAAATCATGATAAAATGTTTCAATTGTGTCCAGTTCCTCAATAAAAGTGACATGTAGTTATCCTCATGGGAACTGAAAAGTAAAATTAGAAAAAACTTATCAAACAAAATGCAAGGGGCTGTTTGAATGCTCTTACCAAAAAAATTTTAAAAATTCAACGAAAACATGATTGAAAATTTGCTCTCTAAATGTTGTTCAATTAGTTTTTTTCCTTAATCCGTAGATAGACTATTTTTTAAAATTACTAAATTTGTTCTTTCTATGAAGTTAATAATGGTTTCATGTGCACAATAACTTTAACCTTTGCAAGCCACTCAATTACAATTCTTAAAAATATACTTGAGAACAAAGGCAAATAACTATTGAGAAAACAATCTTCCAAGCTCAAAACAACATTCTTTAAAAATCACAGCCAGACTAAACACCAAGTCACTTGCCAACCATCAGATATAATAGTAAATCGAAAACTGAAAACAGAAAATAGAAATCGTATAACACTTCCACATAGAAGACAAGTTCCTTATGAAATATTTCCATCATACTCTTATGCTGAGACCTATATTAAGAGCAACCCATAATCTAGAACTGCAAAAAAGTTCAAATAAAATCCATCTTACAGATTATGTGAATCGTAACTTAATGTGTACAGTAATCAATTAACCTGTACCAGCCATCTGATTACAGTTATTCAAAAGAGTGTTGAAGACAGACAATTAAACTATTTCCAAAACAGTTTCTCAAATACGCCACAATATCTGGCGTTTAGACACGGAACAGCTAGATCGAGCTACCCTTATATATGCATCGCTGCTTTTGTTTGAGACAAAGATCGCTCGATGATATATATTCCGTTAATGGGATTTAACAACAGACAATCCAGTGTCCTGATTTCAACCCAGGAACATACAAGCAAACAACGAAGATAAGACGATTTCATCTTAAAAGTTGTATTAAAAAAGAGAATCCAATAAAAGATAGATCTGCGGCATGGATCCATAACATAATAAATCAAGTATACCTCGTCGTACTCCTTCTTATCAACCTTGGGTTGCTTCAGAGGCTTTGCTTTCCCTCCTATAAAGGCAAAAACACAATCAATTCTCCAAATCACGATTAATGAAAAAAAGTTCTGTATCATAGCGTAGTTGTTTTTTAATCCGATCGATGGTACTGCCATATCCAAGAGAAAATCGGAATAGATAGCTTAAAATTACCATAACTATGAGGAAATAGAGCGTACCTTGCTTGGACGACATGGCTGAGATCTTGCTAGGGTTTGGCCCGAGTCGAATAGAACAAAGAGGGATCGCCTGTACGCGGCAATTGAAGGCTCGCGGAATAATACAACGGGCTGCCATTTATAGACACCATAATTGGCACGTGCTATGAACGTGATTTGATTTTATATACATACCTATATACTTTCTTACTCCCAAAATTATAAATTAAAGAAAAAAAACCTTGACCATTAAACATTATAATTAGGTTTAGGTTGGAAAGCTAATTTTAGAAAATGGAATCGTGTGGAGTGGATGCAATATAATTTTAGATGAGATTTCTTTTACATTTTTCTAAATTTGTTGAATTTTTTTTTTTTTTTTTCGAACCGCACAGTCTCATAGTTTGAGGTATATAACAATTTAATAATTGTTTTTAGTTAAAATTTTGAGTAGCTGACTTTTTTTTTTAATACAACGTCTAGGATGTTCTAATTTAATATGCAACACAATTTAGATAAATTTAAAATTTAAACCATAATGAAACATTAAATTCTATATATCTTAACATATTCCGTGTAGAACATAATTAAATTAAAGTTTGGGAAGGGACTTTGGAGGCAAGGATTTAAATACGCGGTAGCCATATTTGTTGTTGTGAGCCATAATTAAACTATACAGACAAAATACAATTTTAACTTTGAACTTGTTGGTGTATCAAAATTTACACTAAATTTACAATTTCATCCTATTGAATGTTAGTTGTAGATGACTATTAAATTTTCCACCTTATACTTCAAAATGGGTCGTAAATTCTTACGTTATAATTCGTTTTCATTTGATGAATGATTGGATAAATCTATATTGTTTTTCAATTAATTTCAAAATATATACACACCACATTCGTACATCAAAAAAAAAAAAATTTATATATATATATATAAATATGAAATTGATGCGATCTAAATGAGATTAGCGTTAGCGTTAGAGCTAGTTTTTCATTGAGGGAAAGTGTTGACAAAGTTATGTATTAATTGTTGATTTTGTTCATTGAAAAATATGATTTCCATTTATTTTTTTTAATTGCCAAGCAACTCAACTGCAATTCGCACGTGTTTTCGACTCGTGAGTTCAAATTCCTTGTTGTATTACAAAAAGAGTTTTTTATTATTATTATTATTATTATTTTATATTTTCACAGGTAATTTATTTGTTGTTATATTATATCTTATATCCACCAGAAAAATCCAGTGCTATTCTGCCGGATACTGTCAAATCGGTACTTCGCAAACCGAGACCCATGGCAGCGGCAGAGCTTAACAATCCCTCGAACACGATATTGCCTGCAACCAAACTTCGGTTTGAGTTCCTTCATCTTCAACATCACGAATCGACGATGGCGCCGTTTCCAGTTCGGAAAATATGGATTTTGTGGCTACACTTACAGGCATGTTTAATTTCCTTTGTCTTCTTTTCCTTCCACTCTCTCTTTGAGCGCAAGGTGTTTGTAGAAAGTCCTTCCGGATTTCAGGAGCTCAGCCAACAAGTTCTCGCCGAAGATTGGTTTAAATCCCAAAGAAAAGTGATAACTGGTCCATCTATGACTAACCAGCTTCTTGAACAATTGTTCTTGGATTTCATTCGCTTTTGAAAATGGCCCCGTCTGCCAAATCTGGGGAAAGCAAACAAATTTCTTACTGGTAATTGCTTGTCAATGTATCAATCTTCCTCGAAAAACATTGAGCTGCAGGGTTTCATATTTTAAACTGATGTTTGATTTGTGAATGCAGTGAAAAGGTGGTGGCGACTGGTGGTGGTTATGTCTAATTCTTGGTCAGCCAGCATCATCCAGGTATTGCTCGAGAACTTGTTTAGGTATTGCTTGAGAACTTGTTTATCTTCGTAAATATTCGAGACTGACGGTAACTACAGAGACTTAAAAGTAAATAATATGTTATTAGACGATAGCATGAATCCAAAAAATTTATAATTTTGGCCTGGCCCAATTAATTACAACATTTTTTTAATGCTATTTTAGTAAGGAAAATACTTGGCTTCTCACTTAGGAATCTTGTCCACGACAACTCATCATTTTTAAAAAAACACTTTTCTCCCTCCTTATTGGTGAGCCAAGTATTTTTCTTTTGGTAATTGCCTTGTTTAATTTTTGATAATTGATTCAGCGTTTCTAAAAAATGAGCCAAGATTAGAAAAAAAGAATAGTCAATAGGCATTTGGTCAACCTTTCACATCAGAAGTGTTGACTCTCGGACGTGAAATATGGAGCTATATAATGAAACAGTTAACTGCGAACAGTTTTTCTTTCTAAGATGTCTACCATAATACAAAATTATTGGGGGGAAGAAAAGAAACAAACAAAAAAGTTTGAACATATCCTTGTGGAAGATTTTGACTGCAGTTTTGTCCAATTCGTTTTATTTTCAGAACTTATAATCATATGATTTCCCTCACTTTCAAATGTTGTTGGAATTTGTTAAACTTAAATAAGGCAGTCCCTTTCCAATCGACCGCCATGAAGTAAGCTCAGGACAAAAGCTTTCATCATCATATAAAATATTTAAGTTACCATGTCAAGACCGCCATTGTTGATTTCATTGTTTATCTTTTCTCAGTTCCCCTTGGTCCAAGTTCAAAAGATTTCTAATGGCAGAAGCAAAACCACCAAGTCAATTTTCAGGTCAGTCAAAACCAGGACTCAATCATTGGTTTCGTCAGTTGCAAAGAGAAGTTGATAAAACGCATGAAACTGCAAGTTATATCCTTATATTGTCCACTACAACGAGCGGTTTGTAAATGGAAACAGGCACTGGAGTTGCAGGAAGGTTTCCATTTCAATGTTTTCTGCGCTGCTGCTTTATACTGCTTCTGCTGGTGGAGTTTTCCGACTGCCAGGCTGATGTACTGGCGCAAGGCCAAGAGCTAACAGCTGGATCTCAGTTAATTTCAGCTACTGGCATCTTTACGCTCGGGTTTTACAGTCCTAGCAATTTGAATGTCAGTTATATAGGAATCTGGTACAACAGAGATTTCCAGCAGCCGTTGTGGATTGCCAATCGAAACTCTCCATTTCCCAACAATTCTGGATCACTCAGCCTCACAATTGACAACAACGGCAGCTTGAAGATTATTCGGAAAGGAGGAGGAGGAGATGGCTATAGTACTTCTTTTTCACTCTTCGATGTTGAAGAAGCAACCAATAGCAGTGCCATTCTGCAGGATACCGGTAACTTTGTACTGCATGAGCTCAACCCAGATGGCTCAGTAAAGGGGCAATTATGGCAAAGCTTTGATCATCCAACAGACACTCTGCTTCCCGGAATGAAACTTGGGATCAATCACAAGACTGGATCCACTTGGTCTCTAACGTCTTGGGGGAGCAAATATTCTCCTGTATCAGGAGCCTTCACCCTCGCAATGAATCCAAACAATACAAAACAGTTACTGATATTGCTTCGGGGAGTCATGTTTTGGACTAGTGGGAATTGGCAGGGCGGTCGTTTCGAGTTCTCTCAAGAACTATCGAGTATCAACAATCAGGACTTCAATTTTAATAGAGTTTCCAATGAGAATGAAACATATTTCTCTTACTCCACCTCCAGCTTCTATCGGTCTCCTTATTATGGACCGACGGACGTTCTACCCCAGTTGAGTTTAGACAAAAATGGTGATTTGACGTGGAGCAATTGGGGTTCAAAAGTCCATTGTCCATTCTTTGAGAATGATTTTTCTTACGGTGTTTCAGAAGATGGATGTGTGGGGGAAAAGCAACACAAAATTCCAGATTGTCGAGATCCGCCCCAGAATATTTACAGTATGTGGATGTCTGGTTACATGGAGGGAAACAGTTCCAGGTTCAAAGAAAGTGAGAACATGACGTTGTATGAATGTAAAAATATTTGCATTCCTGAATGTGATTGCATCGCCTATGGTTCTATGGATGAGGATGGCACCGGCTGCGAGATTTGGAGTGTGGGAGCAACATTTAGTTCGGTGGACGGAGGTTCACAGTGGATTTGGTTTCTGGACACTGATGGCAAAGGTAAGTTGGGTTACTTCAAACCAAAGAAGATGAACTAATAAATTGGCTCGCTTTCAAATCTACCAACTATCTAGCTTAACAAATCATGACTTGGAAGTGGAACCTTAGTTTAAGGGGGGTTTTTGTCAGAACGTAGTTGATCTTGAAACTTATTTAAAAGGGAGAGATGTTGAAAATTTGAAGAAAGCATCTCTTGGGGAGATCCATTTAAACTTTGTCAACTTCGGTTCTCAACTTTTAAACAAAAGCTACAATACTAAGTTTTAAAATGGCCCTCAATATATAGCTAGTAATGAAATCTTAATTTGTGCAGGAAAGAAGGCAAAGGTTTGGGTGTGGATTATTGTTGGTCCGATAGGAGCTGCAATCCTTCTCCTGCTGGGCTTTATTTTCTATGTCAAATGGAAAGCACAAATACTCAAAGGTAATAATATTTAAATTAAAAATGAAAACCTTTCTTTCGATGTCTTGCGAATGATGTATGAGTTTAAATATCCATATGTCTTACCCACAGCTATAGGTAAAATAAGGAAGAAGGATTCAGAGCAACGAAAATTTCTACATGAAATGGGAGTCAGATCTAAAAGTTTCAACATTCTAAGATGGAATAGACAGAGAAGAGAAGAAAAGAACTCAGAACTACAATTTTTCAGTTTTGAAACTGTAGCCACTGCAACAAATAATTTTGCAAACGAACATATGCTCGGAGAAGGTGGTTTTGGACCTGTTTATAAGGTATCATCTTTGGAAGCTCAGGTTGATATGTAAAATTCACTTGTGGGCTTGAGTATTAGCATAAGGCACGACACATAGATTACTAATATTAAATTAGAGAAGAAATCGTTGCAGATATTTAAACTTAAAAGTTAAAATCTTATGTTTTGATACTGAGTTAAGTCACAATTAGATCTAAACGTTCAAGCACATGTTAAAATGAGTATGTTGTTTGCAGGGAAGTTTGGCTGACGGTCAACAAGTAGCTATTAAAAGATTGTCAAGGAATTCTGGACAAGGACTGGAGGAGTTCAAAAATGAAGCTATATTGATTGCCAAGCTGCAACATACAAATCTGGTTAGGCTTATTGGTTGCTGCATT